CAAAGATGCATATATTCAAACATCCGTCTAGATGAAAACTATATTGGATAAAATTCTTTCAGGTTTGAGTTCTGGAGCGAACATCTTTTCCATCGTCATTACTTACCTACTTTTATCAATAATCATTCTGCATTAAATTGATATTTACAAGCACCAATATCTACATAAATTGATAATTTAATAGGTTTCTATTAAAATAGTTATTTACAGTATCTATGATTTCACTGAAGACTCTTAGATGACTTTCAGACATCATTTTCTCTTTATAACACAAAATCTTGTTCTGAAAGAGCATGAATTCTGTACTAATCATCTCTAATGTTGGTATATTGATGAGCATAATTATCCACAGGGTTTTTTTTGTCAAGTAATTGTTAATATATATAAAATTTAATTGTTTTGAATATTCTGCTTGAGAGAAAAAAAATGGTGGTGGTGGGGGGGCAATGATTGGCTAAGGGTGGCCATGGCCACCCCTGGCCCCTCATCTAGCTCCGCCCCTGGTTAACAGCCCTCTTTCTTCTCCAGGTGTGCTACAAGACTGACCTCTTTCCGGTCTGTTACTATTAACATGTAATTAGTAACAGACCGGAAGTCTGTTTGAGATCAAATATTGTAAAGACACACCTTTAGGAGAAGATGGAGCAAAGCGAAGCAGCCGTTGCTAACAGGTATTAGCCACGCAGCTAGCTCTGCCAGAGATGGGTACCTACACGGATGAAGTGGCCCCCTGGGGGCCTGCTGAACACAAAGCGGTTCCCCGAAAACGGTCCTTGTCCTGGATGAGGAAGGGGGCCGGGTCCCAGGGGTCTGTAGTGTGGAGCCCCGGGATGCAGGGGCCTCTGCTCGGGTGGATCCGGTCGGTACATGACCCAGAAAGGAAAAGCCTCACAGCATCAATTAAACACCTGGATCCCTCTCTGCTCTGACCAGATCGGCTTGCTACACTTTAAGGGCTGAGATTACGCTTCACATGGAGGTTCCCCCGGAAATACAACCGGAGGAAAACATTTATCTTCTTGAGTGAAAAATGAACCCGGAAAGTGCTCCTTAGCGCCACCAAATGGTTTGGAGGTTAAATTCTTCAGGAGGAGAGCCCAAAGATGGGAAATGAGTCCTGGGTTTATTTCATCCCTCAATGAGAAGCAGGGAGGAAAAAACTGATCAATTCTGATTTAGGAATTTCTAGTTTACATATTTACACAAAAATATTTATAGTGTTAAGTATAGTCTCTGTTTATGCACCTTGACGCTCTATCTCTCCGCCTCTTTTCCCTGAAAAGAGATCACTCGGGACAAACTCTTTAAATAACTCTTCATAACTTATATGTATTAAATGACTAGGAGACATGACAACAGATTGATAGAAATTGTAATCTTACCCAGATCAGAGAAATTGCTTAGTTTACAGAAGGCAGCTGCTCTCCTCCAGGAAGTGGCCCAGATGAAGTTAAAAAGGCATTTTATACATCTCCAGTCTGCCACTACATCTTATTTTACATCATACATATTAGATGATTAGACATCAATGGCTCCAGCCTTATCAAAATATTACACTTCGTTCTTAGCTAAAAGACACCGCTCTCATTCCATTTCCAAATCTTCACCACGTACAGAATTAAGATTATAACTATATCCAGACAGAGGAACTGTTTTAATTAGAATAAAACATCAGTTGTGACAGGCAACAGACAGCCAATACCAAGGTGTAATAAACTCACACATCTTCAATCCTAATTATCCTAACAATTTGTAGGAAAGCACTTTAGTTTTGCACGAAAAACCACATTTATCGCCATAAATAGATTTCAAACTACCTCAAAGGAATAAACTAAAGGGGTCCACCACCAATGAGGTAGTTTAAAGCGGTTTTCCTGATAATCTAAAGGGATAAACTATGGGTATGCTGGTCTAATCGGGTATGCTCATCTGACAGAACACTGATTTAGTGGTTAGGGCATAGAGCTAGGAAGACACTCTGGGTCCCTGAGAAAGATCCTTGACCCTACACTGCTCCCCGGGTGCAGCACAATGGCAGCCCACTTCTCCCCAAGGTGATGGGTTTAATGCAGAGAGTAAAAATTGTCCAATGTGAGATCAATGAAGCTGAATTATTCTAACGGTTCAATAAAAATAACCAGACTGCACGCAGAAAGTGGGATTGTTTTTGAAACTTTTATTGCATGTTGACATCCATACAAAGCTTCCAACATTTCAAGGTGTATTCACATGGCTGCACACGTTGGCATCCTTTAAATAGGTAACACAGGAAAATCCAGCCAAACACTGAAATGAAAACAGACTGGAAAATGTACATCGCTTTCAAGTAATCTTGGAGATTCAGTGACCCCCTTCGTGAAGCTAAGGCGTGTCCTGGACACAGACGTGAGGAACGTCTTCTTCGTTCAGTCAGATCAGGGCTGTAAGGCTTCAACACCGATTATCAAAGGAAAGTTGAAAACAGGCCAGGATGCAGAAGCTAACGTTAGCAATCGGTTAACAGTCCATAGAGCACAGGTGACCAAAATAATAATTGGTGGTTTAAATGTCTCTTGTTTAATAATTTTCTTGTTCCAGTTTGTTGAAGCTGTAACATAACGGATGAGGATGATGATGATGGAGTCGGCGCTGCACCTTCAGCTGGTGTAGTGTCTGCCTTGGTTGAACCCCGCCTGGTTGTACTGCTGCCCTCCATGCTGGAAGAACTGTTCAAACTGTCCTCCTTGGCTAAAACTCTGACCCCCTCTACCCCCCCAGCCCCCTC